CCCTCACCTCGTTCCATCTCCCCTGCCCCTTTCTCTGAAGTGCGGTCATGATTTACGCAAACACCACCGACTGATCTCAAGATGTGATATCAATCAAACCCTCTAAACATGTTAACTTAACAGGAACGTAATTCATAAGTCAGGTACGTTCATAAATAGTACTGTGTCTTAGACCACAACATTTTTATTGTCCGTACTTAGACCTTATACTCTGGTGGTTGGTGGGTGCTCCAACGTGTGGTTTGCTTCTTCTTTCCTATCAAACATCTATCGTCCTTTTCTCTCCTCCTTTTTTATGTTTGTTACTCTCTTGTAACACTTTTTTTCTAATCCCAGGCACTGCTGTGGCCTTATTGTGTTGCAAGTGCCGTGAAACACTTACTAATAAAACTAAGACCTATAATACTTATCACGGTAAACATACCCAAAATAACTGTTTACTTCCCCGAACTAATGGTACTTTATCTCGCAAGCACACGCCTACGAGGCTGTAAATAGTGGGCGCTATTGTGATTGATCGGCGGGGAAATTTACGATAACTTGGCATTGTGATATAACATAACAACAGTCGAGCGCACACAAAGTCACAACTGTGATGGGAAAAACAGACTAAGGTCTTGGAAGTCGGTGCGCCACACTCGATTTCTTGATAGGAAAAACCCCTCGCTCTCCGTCAGAGCACAGACCCTGAAGGGTTCGGTGTTTGAGGTAATCATAATCACCACAATGTTATGTTGTGCCGTTGTGTGTGCGCGAGTGTGACTTCTTACCAGGATATTTCTGGCTGGTGTTTGATACATTATTATTTAAATATTTTTTTTTCGAAGACGTGAAAAAAAAGAATTTTTCCAATTTTCTGAACGTGGGAACATGTTTGGGTTTTGTGAGAAGCGGTTTGTGATAGATATCAGGTTTGAGATTCGATTATGATAAATTAGGTTGAAATAGACGTTGTGAAAAAGGAGGTGTAGCCTATAGATTTACACTGTTATGAAGGTGTCGTTCTTTCTGGCATTCTTTTTACGGTTGTGAGTTTGACGTTTTTTGCGTTTGACGTTTTTTGCGTTTGACGTTTCTTGAGTTTGACATTTCTTGAGTTTGACGTTTTTTTGCGTTTGACGTTTCTTGCGTCGTGTCCTCAGTTTACCTGCAGGTGGTTGGAGGGTGCCTCTGAACGGTTGTACTTCTTTTCTTCCCCTTTGTTTTCTGTTTTTGTTTGTCTGTCTGTCTGTTTGTTTGTCTTTCAGTCTTCCGGTCTGACTGTTTTATTATTTTTTTTCATGCAATAAATAGCCGTTACCACATTAATGGGGTTGTCTTTTTTCAAGCTGAAAGTTGACGCTATTTAGAAGCCTTTGTTCTTGCTTCTTTCGGCCATGCAGTAGATCTAACAGTACTTTAAACAGTTGTCCTATTAAAAAAAAGACCCTTGGGGCATGGAATGTCAGTGTTTGATGAGACCATTAAGATTAATTTTATTCTTGTTATTTGAGTCTATATTATGGTGTGTATGGTGGATAAGGAGTGCACGTGTGTGTGTGTGTGTGTGTGTGTGTGTGTGTGTGTGT